GCTCACTGGGGCCAGGATCTGAGTCCTGAAAACAGACGTATCGCACTTAAGCAATTCCAGTATTACGGCTACAACGCTTACCTGAGCGATCGCTTGCCCCTGGACAGGCCCCTGCCTGACCTGAGGCCTAACGGGTAAGTGCTCTAGTTCAGTCCAGCACCGTAGGCCCTGTTTCACCTCGAAGTCTCGCCTACAATTCGTAATTGTACACATGCCTACTTAAAATGGCTAAAAGAATGACCTTTTTATGTTAAATTTCAGTTTTATCATAAGATCTGACTAAGATAGGAAGGAAATAAGAACTGCTCTTTTGGAAAGCCCAGAACTGTCTGATAAAGATCAGAAAGCAGGTGAAATTATTGAGTTCTAGTGGTGAAATATGCAATTTAGTCAAGCAGCGTATATCATCTGGAAGCCCATGGAGCCTCCTTTACTGGACTATTCTCTGCATGCATGTCAGGCAGGGTAAATACATCCACTGTTATTCCACAGTGGCCTGGTGAGATGGATGGGACCAAGGGAGTGAACAACGTTCCTTTTAATGCATTTAAGGCCTGTTCTGGTAGGACCATTCACAGAGACAGTTAATGCTCAACTTTTTTTCAGCCTTGGTAATTCAGCTGATCCTTTGAACAAACAGCAGCTCTGGGGATGGGGAAATGGGTGGAGGGAAAACTACTTTTTTGCAGCTCATTTTAAAAAAATAAATGTTGAACATAAACATCATGGGTACTTACTGAATTGAACCAGTAACCAAGATGTGAAAGACTTCTTAGTTCCTTGCCAGTTCCAAAAGCAATCCAGATGTGAACTTATTCACTTACTTTAACCAAATGTTTTAATAACTAAAGCAGTAAATTTTACCCTGTATTAAGTTGTCTGATATTAATGAAAAGATATGAACAGCATTCCAGGGAAGAGTTCAGCAATTTTAAGTATATTTATGCTATATATTGTTATATGTCACATTTTAGAAGTATTTGTGTTGCGGATTTGCTGAAATAATGATTTAAGGAAATCTAGGTCCATACAATTGTATTTGGATTTTGGTTAAATCGCCTTTTTTTTTTTTTTTTTTTTTTTAATTGTAAAATAATTTAGAGGGAAAAAAATCTTCTGTAACTAACAAGATATCAAGGGCAGAAATGTTCTTATATCTCTTTTGAAATTACTCTCCTGAATGATTTAAATCTAATTTTTTTTAAAACTATGGGTTTCAAGAATTAAAAAGACAGAGAAAATAGATGTTACTGTAGCCAAAAGAAATAAATTAGGTTGGGATTTTAAGAGAAACTCTAGTTAGAAACAAATCATGGTTCTAATTTCTGTGAAATTTTTGATCCTTAGTTTAACTATCTGCCAGAAACATGTTAGGCATTGCAATATGTCTATGGATTGTATTGTGCTTGTGTGGCAGGGGGTGAGGCTACAAGGGCAGCTTCTGTGTGAAGCTGCCAGAAGCTTCCTCTGTGTCTGATAGAGCCAGTGCCAGCCAGCTCCAAGACAGACCTGCCACTGGCCAAGGCCGAGCCCATCAGTGACGGTGGTAGTACCTCTGGGATAACATATTTAAGAAGGGTGGAGGGGGAAAAAAAGAAAAAAGGGCAATTGCAGCCAGAGAGAGGAGTGAGAATATGTGAGATTAAGCCAGGGAAGAAGGGAGAGGTGGGGGGAAGGTGTTTTTAAGATTTAGTTTTTATTTCTCATTACCCTACTCTGATTTGATTGGCAATAAATTAAACTAATTTTCCTAAGTTGACTCTGTTTTGCCCATGACAGTAATTTGTGAATGATCTCTCCTTTTCCTTGTCTTAACCCATGAGCCTTTAATTTTTTGTCTCCTCTGTCCAGCTGAGGAACGGGAGTGATAGAGCAGCTTTGGTGGACATCTGGCATCCAGCCAGGGTCAACCCACCGCAGGATGCATGCCTTCAAAATAATGGCTTAGTAATGGTAGCTCAGGAAGATCTCCACTCCGCCGTTTTGTCATAGTTAGCAGCATGTCTCACACTGAAATGTAGTAAATGCTGATACTGAGGGAAATGAAGAGTGTTGTCAGGTAGCATGTACACTGTTTGCTGTATATGCAGCACCCTGTGGAGTACAGAGCTACAGGATATTCTGAAAAGCACGTTGCTGAAAAAAGAATTCCCAGTGCTGATATGCAAATTCTCATTTGTGTGAGAGCCCATGCATGGCTATTGTAGGG